AAATATTAAAGAGCACAACTTTATTAATATTTACTCCATTGGAAACGAATGTAAACATAGAACTGACTACTGAATTGGCAGACTATCCCATCAGCTCATGCTCACAACAAAACGTGATTTTCGTAAGGATTATTTTAATCAAATTTTTGTTCGTTAACCGAATTGAAGATTCTTATGGAAGGTAATTCGTTAACTGAAATTTTGTTAACTGAGGGACCACTGTATAATGATAATTAGCAGGGCTTTTTATGATAAATACTGGGGGCACTTCACGTTTTCATGGCAAAATTGTATCACTTGAGTATGGCCGTGAAATCGCCATGTGCACCCAAGGGTAAAGAAATAAGGTTACGTTCCCAGCCTCCCTTCACCACTGTAACATGCATCACAATTAAGACAATGTAAACAGATTGTAAATACTTATACATAAGAATCTCAGTTATCCGGGCAACTGGTAGATTTAACTAACCGATGCCAAAATGAAATAATAATCAAAATTAAAATTCCTCCAAAATCAGTTAGAATCAGAACTTGGAATAATGCACACAATGGGGATGAACTGCCATATTTATTGCTAGCACATACTTTATTTACCCAAAAAATTGCTCCTTCCACACTCAAACCATCCTCTGGGCGACACGTCACATTCCAGGCAGTCAACCAGCTGACTAACAGACATGTGGCTGCCGTGCTATCTGTGTGTGTATGCCATGACATCACATCGGAAAGGAGAACAGCCACACAGTTAAAGCCCAGTAACCCACCGCCTCAACACGCATTCGCTTCCCACACATGCACACCGATGCTCTTCATTTTTCCTTTTTTTTAGTTTTATATTATATTTTCTTTACCTCTAAGCCACATTAAAATATTGTAATGGTTTTCCACTACTTTATAGTATCATTACAAGTAACAATGTACAAGGCGGCTAGGCTGGCGAATCAGCAATGTAGTTAGAACCACGGCCTTGGCTATAACTGCCTACACACAGGTTCACTTCTTACACATACACGCCCATGATCTCCATTTATATTATATTTTATTTATTTCTAAGCCACAGTAGAGTATTGTAATTATTTTTTGTCAACTTTTATAGTATCATTTCAAGTAACAATAAAAGCGGCAGCTGGGCTGGCCAGTCGGCAACATACTTATAGCCCACCACCTCCACACACGCTAATATAGAGTGGAACAAGTGTTAAAAGTCTTTTTTTTCTGAGACAAACTTGCAAGGCCAGCCTGTAGCACTTGGCATTGTAGGATTTATTGGGGGATCCTAAGAGTGAGTTTCAACTAACCGAAAAACCTCTTTATCGGGCACCTCTCAATCCTTGTAGGTGCCAGATAACTGGGATTCTACTGTGCCTGTATAATCTGCACTGTAAATATATATAAATATAAACTAAAATAATTTTTTTTTAACACTTAGTATGATCTATTGTACTCACTGATGGCCAAAGGTGAAGTGAGAGAGCAGTGGGAGGGAGGGTGGTGGGAATCACTGTGACCCAGAGGGTCCTCCCACTGCCTGGGGGCTATCTTGTGCTTCTTCTCCTACTGTCTGTTTTCCTCCTTTCCAAAAAAAAAAAAAAAATGCATCCAGTGTTAATTGCCTGGTTTACTTCTCTCTGTACAGTTCGTAGTAGCACCAAGATTCTCCACGAGATTCTGGTGCACTTTTAGAGTTATGTTCTCTATTAGGGTCATCTTCAGCCAGCATATCCAGTCCCTCTTCTATACAAATGAATGCTACAGACATGCATTTCAATGTCAAACAAAGACTTGGCCTTACGTTGCATAATCATAAAACTCACAGGGGCATTGCTTTGATTTTGGTCTTCGGTCCACATTAAGGGCATCTTTTCCATTTTCTCCATCACTCCACTATGAATGCGACTTGTCTTAGTAGCACTCAAAGATGAAGCACTTGTGACACTGGTCTTAACTTTGTCAGCATTAACACAAATAGTATGCATCATGGTAGCAGGTATTCTCAATGTTACCCCTATATCAACAGCATGCTCACTGGCTTCAAAGCAACATAAAAGATCCATCTTCACTGCCAGACTGATGCTTTTCCATTGCTTCTTGCAAATAGCACTACAGTACTAGCAAAATCACTTGCCGGTCGTTTAGAAGCCATTTCAATGGACAATGTAGAGCAACAACATAAACAAGGTGAACACGAGGTACACAACACAAGACGCACCGACACTTGGCAGATGCGTAAGTGAGACATTTTATAGCATCACTAGGCTGGTGAGGGAAAGAGTTACGTGGAAAAAAGTAGCACCATCTGACCGACAATATAATGACAATTTTACACAATGTTGTGTGGAGCCTTGATATAGAAACAGTGCCAACGTAATAATGAAACAATATTAACTGGGACAATGTTCGGTGAGGATTTACTGTAATGTCACCCCGTTTGGTCCCATGATATGCTAGAGGCTGTCAGTTGATTAAAAATGTCAAAAGGAGGACCACCATGCTGGTGCCTACACTATGGAATCTCAGTTACCCAGAGAGATTAGAACGCCCGAAGTTGTCTAGCTTTTACTATAGGCGGTCAAGGGGTAACTTAACTGAAGTTTATAAATATCTCGGAGGGCAATACTCAGTCGAGTGTCCATACCTGGAGCTGGCAGTTGCCCGTCCCACTGGGGGGCCATAGCTTAATGCTGAAAAAGCCACAAGTTCAGAAAATTGTCAGGGCAAACTTTTTTGGAATGAGAATTGCAAACTCTTGGAACAATCTGCCAGAGAGTATTGTGACAACTCTTGAGTGTAAGCTCATTCAAGACGAGACTTGACCAACACTGCTGCAGGTGCAGATACATTCTGGAGCCTGGACATGCCCAGTACTTGCCAACAATGTGTAACAGACATGTGAACAACTGCCCAAGCGGGTAACGGGCCGATCAGCGGTGAAGAAGTAAAAAGTAAAGTAAAAGTAAATTTTTTCCAGCAACATTATTCAACCTTCACACTCTTAAGATGTGAAGTTTTGAACAAAATGTTTCAAGAAGAAGAAACTGCATCCAGAATATGAGTACAGTTAAGTACATACACCTAAGGCTTGTCAAAATAATATGGTTACCATATTTCCTAACCTTCAGTCTAACTTACATACAAACACATACTGTATATGCAGATAAATTAATGCCATACCCTGGGAAAATAAAAAAAAGGCACATCTCTATTGCAAAAAATAAAAAAATATATTAAGTCTTACTTGGATCCCATCTGTCAGCCAGTGTGCATGAAATTGTGGACACCAACTTGAAGCAAGATATACTTTGCTAAAGACCTCTAAGCAAAATGAGACAAGTCCCTCCCCGGAACTGACCACCACAGAATTATTGCCGGGCAGAAGCCATGCAGGAGCACTTTCACAGTTTCTAGTGTTGTAGTTAAAAAATAAAGCTTCAGTACTGTACTTATACTACATTTTAAAGCAGCCTTTTCAAGGAACACAACTCTGGCATTTGTAAGGGTAACCTGTATATTTTCTTTATGTTCATGTTGAACAAAAGTATTAATACATTAGATTACGTATTAGTTTTGCTCTATACGTATGGATTAAAAATATTAACAAGTACAGTAATAATGTACAGTATTTACTCTGTGGTCATTGAAGACAGTCAGGTTACTAGGTCGTGTGCTGTATTTTAATGTTACTGTAATATGGTACAGTACTGTATATACAAAATACAACTTTACTATGTACAGTACTATACAGTAAACCTCCATACGTACAAGTACGTTATTGTACTTTATTTAGTGAAACTGAATTTATAAAACAAAAGGTATGATTTTCAGCTCCTTGAGTGGCATAGTTGTATTAGGCTGAATAAAATGAGATAAGGAGAGAGATTGGCAGTCCGGTACAAAAAAAATTTAAGTGGTCGAAAGTTAACTGTGTACATGCAAATCCAGCTCTTGAGAAGCTGGTATAAATGAAGGTAAACTATAGTATATTAGCAAGGTTCACCTTTTCAATTTGTTTTTTATTTGGGGTTATATCAAGAATACCAATTTGTACTGTGCACCCACAACACTAAACATTATCAAATTACTCCACTATAAATTTTGTCTAAAGTAATGTCACTCTAATTCAATCTAGTATGCCACAGTGCTATAGGGCTCCTTCTAAATGGATATTTGCTACTGAAACTGTTAGTTCGGTTTTTGGGAACTACAGTGGGTCCCTTGGTTAACGAACACAATTCGTTCCAGAAGGTCGTTCATTAACCGAATCCATTGTTTCAATGAGATATTGGGTAATTGGTTCCAGCTCACCGAAAAGTACATACAAAGTAAAAAAAAAATGCAGTAAAGTACTTACTTTGAGGTGTGCATGTAGAAGGCTCCTGGTTGTTGATGATGATGATGGGAATTAGAAGTGGGGGTGGAGGAGAAGGGAGAAGAGAAGGAAGTGGGGATGGAAGAGAAATCACCCCATACTTGATGCTGTGTAATTTAGGATTATTTTCTTTAAATCAACACTGCACTGCACTATATATTGTCAATATGTTAAATAAAATTCAGAATGACCAATAATTGTACTATAAAAACGTAAAAATACTCTGTGGTCAAGAGACCCACAAGCAAGATGTTTCCTCCACTGAAGTGGCTGATGGGCGCACCAAAAACTAGTTTCCTGTACTGCAATTATGTTAAATAAGTGTTAAAACGACTAATAATTTTAATATAAAACTTGGAAAAATATTGAATAACACAACCTTCTTGATATTTACTGCAATGGAAACGAATATAAGCCCTAGAACCGATTACTGTATTTGCGGGCTAATCTCCCAGCTGGTGAGCAAGCCAAAACATGTTGACATGTATTCGTAGGAATTTCGTTAACCGAATTTTTGTTCATTAACTGAATTGAAGATTCTTATGGAAGGTAATTCGTTAACCGAAATTTTTTTTAACCGAGGGACCACTGTATATCATGATTTTGTAATGGTAGACATAAACCAACAACATACCTGTGGATACTTCTGAGCATAGGCTTGATTAAGCTTGTGAAGACTCTTTATGAGTGAAGCTAAAACATGAGGTGCTATAGTGAAGGGAGTCATTTCCGTTGTTTGCTTCACCATGGCTGAAATGTATAGCAGTTAAAATTAATTCCTTGTTATTCTAAGTACCAGATTTCATCATAATAAAAAAATCAACTCAATAGGCTTTAAAGTGTACAGTGCTATGGATTAGATTTGTCAAAATATTACCTCTAACTTTACAGAAAGGTTTTATTACAGTTAATTTACCAATGAACAGTATTCACTTGTCAAAAGCCAATTTGTTGCATCTAAACACAACAGTATCAGGATAATTTTCCTCAATTATTTTAATATCTTTGAAAGATTTAAACTCTAGTTAACAACACCTTACAGAAATGTTCGTGAGGATTACTGAGTAAATCTGAATGTTAGTTACCTTTTGTTTGTGTTTTATGCAGTATGTAAATACTGTACAGTAGAATGTAATGTAAAAATTTTCATGTAAATAAGGTAATGAAAAACATAAAGGATGCACAGAGCAACATGAGACAAAATATAAGAAAAGTAGTATTTGCAAAGTTATCCAGTACACCTTGAGAAATACTAGAGCAAACTCTCTCTGTGGATGTTTGGTCAGTCAAGTATTTTGTGTTTCATGACCAATGCAAGCCTCTTCCTATTTATGTACAATGTACTGTTCCTTGTTTTCTACCAATGATTCAATCACATTTTCTTCCATATTTAAGTTTCCTTGCATGATTTCACTCTGACATCTCATCAGAATACAGGTCAAACCTCTATAATCCTGAACCTGACCACTAACGTACAGTATCATAGAAATTTCTGAACCACAGCAGGTCAGCTAAAGTCAAGTGAAAAAATTCCTCCTATACTGATACGATACATGATACATGATATACACATGTAAGAACAGTACATTATATGTTAATACAAAGGAAAACGGGTACAATATAGCTACAGTATAAACTGAAAATGCATTAATGGAAAACAATAAGACCTTTTCCCGAGAAACGATTAACAGTAATGTACAAACTAGAGTACAGGTGTCCCTTTGCTATATGAATGATCACTACAGGTACAGTGATTTCTGCTATAACGCGTGTTTTGATAACGCGAATTTGCTCTAACGCGATTTATGAATAAGGAACGATATTTGTATAACGCGAACGCTTGTTTGCTATAACGCGACTTTTGCTTACTATTTCTCCAATTTTGTGGTACAGTATTAACTGTGAATATAGTAAAGAAGAATATCAACAAGAAGCGTTCTGGTGATAGAATTCCCGGTGATGATCGTAAAAGAAAGGATATAACACTTGAAGAGAAGCTCGATTTTATCAACCTCAAAATCACCCTTCTCCCCCATCAAGTAAAGTGTTACATTTACTGTATGATTTCATTATTAGATATGAATGTAACATTTATTTAGACTGTGCTATCCTTTGTGTTAGGCTAACTACTAAATTTTTTCGATTTCGAGTAATCTGCACCTAACCCTATTTTCTCCATAAGCCCTGTTATTTCTATTACGCGATTTTCTATAACACGATATTTTACAAGAACACAATTATCGCGTTATAGCAGAACTACCTGTAAATGAAAATTCTATTTTTACTAAGTATCTAAAAACGATTTTTGCTTATATGAAAAATGGTCCAATCAAAAACTCAAATTGCATGTGCAGTATAACACATCAACCCCCTCCCTCTCACATCCCCCTCAGCCCATGTTGTCTTGCACCATTTGCTTAGTGTGTATTCGTGCCATCGTTTTGTGAATCGGTACGCAATGGAATCCAAACGTGCTGATTCCTTGGCTACCCCCACCATTGCCAAGAGACCGCATAAGCCTGTGATAATTGAAAACAAGTTTGAAATAATCAAGTATACGATGAAAGCATGATGGCCCAAGCAAGATAAGGAGAGACTACCTCACATAAGGTAATGTACCAATTGTATACACACTGTACAGTATTCTTGGTAATTCAGATCATTATTATTCGGATTTTGGCTTAAATCATAAGTAAAAAAAAAAGAAAAGAAAAAGGCATTAAACTATTTAAATTCGGAATGAATGTGAAATAATCGAATGGTTCCGAAGTCGTTTATTATTATAGGAATATATTATGAATTAATTTGAATGAATTATAGAAATGTAATATGAATTATATTAAAGATATGCAATAATATAATGGTTGCCCCTCTTGTAACGAGGATGGCCGGCCCTACGGCCACCTAGGCGTCACCAACACAACAACCACACCCTGTGTGAACGAGCTGCATGACCCAGTGTCAAGGAATAGTCCGAGAAGACAGGACAACTTGCCAACTGCACTGGCTAACCATTATCCCGGAACACGATCCGCAAATCAATTAACATCCAGGTTCCCAATTACTGCTGGGTAGACAGATGCTGTACAAAACTACATTTGGGTGAGTAGCCAGGGAGAGGAGGTAGTGGGTGGCATAGGAGGAGGGAGGAGAGGAAAGCTGACCTCCCGCGATCCATTTATAACGACAGAATGCAGTTTCACCTTAATTTCCATATTATTTACCGCATTTTACGGCATATAAGATGTACAGCCATAGAAGACCCACCCCTCATTTTAGCAGGGAGTATTTAGGAAAAACTTTTGTGTGGATTTTCTTCCTGTTGCCATACTTTTCTTAAAATAATATATACAGTTCCAGCAAATGCGAGCAATAGATAAAAAATAATACCAATAAAATATCTTACAACAAAAAATACTGTATTGCCAAACCAGTAAATAAAAGCCAAATGAAAGTTTAACAGTTGCCATTTGCATGTACTTCCTGGTTCACCATAGTAATGGAGATGCCACCTCCACCGATTCCCTCGCAATGCCCCCCCCCCCCTTTTATGTGTTTGCCCTTAGGACAATTATTTCTTTTCTTTTTCTCACAATATGTATGTATGATGGTGTGTGCATGTAGCTAAGTAAAAATGAATGAAGAAAGTTATGTATATCTACCCAAAAATACAAGCTGAAAAACCATAACACATCATAGCTTGGCCCAGTAGCCTGGTGATTACAGTGATGATTCTAACCTGGCTACAACGTCGCAAGCAATGTTAACAGACGGAATGTGAAAAGAAAGTTACAGGGTACAGGTATATGTAAATCTTCATTTGTATTAGGTATTTGTATATTTAAAAATAAATGTTGCAGATATGGAATTAATAAATTGTAATGCTTGTAAGAGTTCAGAAATGGTTAATGCTTAGCTACTTCTGAAGAGGTGGGTGTCTGCCATATGGATGTTAATCGTCTCAGGTTATCATCATTAGTACAGTAGTTATAAATTAAGCTTTTATATTTACAATAATTATTTTTAATTAATTAAAAATAATAATAATAATGTGTTTAAGTAAGCAATAGCATATTTTTAATTCTGGAGTTGGTTTAGGTAGTATTTAGCCTACTGGAGACAGTAACCGGGGGATTCAATAGGTTATGAGAGACCTCAACTTCACATATAGGATGCATGTTGATTTTTTTAGCCTTTTTTCAGATAAAAAAGTGCATCTTATATGCCGTAAAATACTGTAGGTATACTGTATGTGGTGCGGGGTAAATAAAACATTATTGAAAAATAATTAATTTTCACCCAAAAATCGCACACTGAATCTCAGATGAGCTATTGTGCTGCAATATATTCCCAATCTCGTTTACAAAGCGGTAACAGCTGATCAGTCCCGCTCTCCCTAACAATGTTGCCAGCACTCGCCATCTCTCAAGCACCGTTGTTGTTGCTGCTCAAGAGGGTTGGTGCTTACCACAGGATCTGTCTTTGAGCACTTTGTACAGTAAATAATATTGCAGCATATTTATGAGAACTTAATAAATATTATTGTACTGAATAATATGTCTCCATATTCCCTGTTTTTTTTTACTGATCAGTCGTTTAAGTGCAAAAGTAGCCAAATTAAGCCATCATGTATCAATTAATTTTAAAACAAATTAGAAATTAAAATGTTATCAGACAATGGTTTAGTAGTGATGTTAATGTGTATGCTGTGTAAGTGCCTTGTCATGTCACCTCACTTTGCAGTGTTATACAGGGGCATTTATTTATTACTGTTTTATTTACTTTATTATTACTGAAGTATGTACATTTAAAAAAAAAATTATGTTTGCACAGTAATTATAAATACATTATGTTATGTGGCAGCCAGGGAAAGGTACCAAAACTGAACATAAGAATTCAGAAATTGTCGAATACTGTACTGCACGTCAAAATATTCCGAACTTGGTTAATTCTGATTTTTCGGAAATTCGAGTGACCCAGTGCCCCTTTTTTGTAGCATTAATGAGGGTATAGTGTATGTATTTTATTTAGTTTACCAATTTTTAGGTACATGTATACAGTATTGTAGTTTTTTGTTGTTCGTTTACAAAGTACAATACAGAGTAGTTGTTTTAGGTATAATGTTGTGATTTTTTGTTGTTTGTGAACTGATTTCCTTTTTTTCAGGTACAGTACTGTACAGAATATTTTTTTTTTTGGTGGGGGGGAGGTGGGAACTGAATCCTATTTTTTCCATTTACTGTATTTTGTTATTTGCTATCCAAAAATTTGATAATCAAAGGATTTTTAAGGAACATAACCTATTCAGATAAAGAGATATACCTGTACAGTACAGTACTGCAGGGGCAGATCCAGGGGTGTCCTCAGGGTCCGAACCCACCCCTTTCCATCAGAAAATTCCAATACTTTTTCTCTAATGTAATACAATTGAGTCTGGATTTATGCGTTTTTTGTTTACGCGTTTTGTCATTTACGCGGTGCCTTGCCAGAATTGAAATGCTTTAATTACGCGGTAAATTTGGTCATTTACGTGGAGAGCAGCTGGCGGTCCAGCCGCGTGCCATTTTGGATTCAAACCTCCCGCCATCTCTCACCATGCCTTACCACAAGCGGGGGGGAAGCGGCGCGGGGAGGGGTACGCTGTTGCGTTATCGGTGACGTTATATGACGTATCGGACTGTGATTGGGCCACGCATCCTTACCTCCCTCCCCCGCTAGCTGTGATTGGTTTAATGTAATATGACGTGCCCTGCCACGGGAGAGAAGAAGTCGCTGACCTAGCAGGGCCTGTCTCATTGTTCTCAGTCCGCGTATACAGTTCTCTCTCGTGCCCGCTATTCCCCTCACAACTCACAATGGCTGCTGCGGGACCCCCACCACCAGAGAAAAACACTGAATTACCTGAACCAAGCCATGATAATGTGAAGGAAATCATCGAGTTGGGGGAGAAACTTAAGCTCATCCTTGGCAACGATCCAGACAAGCATATAACCATCTGACGAAATTTATGGAGCCGTATATCCATCTATCTCGACAACATCAATGCTAGTCGTCAACGTAGTATTGAGGACTTCCTCGCCCGCAACCCACCACAACCACAGCCAGCCCAAGTCAGTGATAGTGATATTGACAGTGAGGATATGGACTTTGAGGGGTTTGTCTGGGAGGCCCTGCAAACCTCTGCGAGTAGTGAAAGTGATTCACCGGAGGGCAACTAATCTGCCCTCTGCCTCGGAACCAGTCGCCATCCACATGTGCCGACCCAGCTTTTCTACTAATGTAAGTGTTAAAAAACCTAATATTATTGATATTTCTCTTAATTATTAATTATGTGTGCATACCATCATAAAATTAAGATGTTATTTTTACTACAACGTAAGTTTTGTGTCGGAAAAAGTGGAGTTTGGGGGTCGGCCCAGTCTCTATCTCAATTAATCCCATATGTTCTGTTATTTCATTTACGCGTTTCTCGTTTTACGCAGGCCTCCACGGGTTCAATTGACCTCGTAAATGCAGACTATACTGTATACCTGTAGGACATAACACTAATTCTTATCTATTTTTCTCATATTCATTCATGATATGTACATCATCCCTGAACTCTTCACTTGCTGACCATACAATGTCTTCAAGTGCTACATTACTAACATCTAAGAGTAATACACTTCACTGGGAATTTTTCATGTTATTTTTACTATCACTGAGGTGAAACTTTCACCATTTACCTGTATTAAATACAGTAAACAAATGGAAAAAAATATGACACTTCCTTTAGATTAGTGCAAATAAGCATGACTAGAAAGTTTGACAGCATGTAGGAGGGTCAGTCAATAAGTAACGAGACTTTTTGATGTAGATGGCAAAGGGGTGAGGCAAACGCAGCGATAACGTTACGACATATTTAGACATGCATAAGTTACATCTTCATCTGTTTGTTTAGTCTGTTCATTCTATTAGTCTCGAGTAAGTGTTGCATTAATGATGAGCGCTCCACTCAAATTTTGTACTTTAGAAGAACAACAATATGTTATTCATTTTTTAAATTTGGAAGGGGTAAAATCAGGCGAAATTCATCGCAGAATATCACTTCAATACGGAAGCAATTTCATCAGTCAAACAAACATTTACAAGTGGGTTGAACAATTTAAGAATGGTCGAACAAGCATTGTGCATGAAGATCGTGCAGGACGACTTCTCGAAGTTTCGCCACCCTCTTAATACCAGAACATTGAGTAGAAATTTTTGGGAATCTAATGCATCACAATTGAACAAATTGTAGCAGAATTGAATGCCAGTGTTGGTACAGTACACAACATTGTACACAACGTGAAGAAAATTCTGAAACTAGTTACGGAGTCAGCCTAAAGAATTATTTACCACAAAGATGAGACAAGTGGATAGCTGTAGAGGGAGATTATGTGGAAAATTAGGTATGTGAACATAAATAATATATCATTACTAATGCAGTTATATTCATTTGTCTCGTTACTTGATGAATGACCCTTGTAAATACAAAATTACAAAACAGGGTCTGAAAGAGGAAGAAAGATGAGGAGGGAGAAGAATTAAAAAAAAAAAGCTTCTGCCAAGATAATTGTAAATTTTGTGCTGGGAGTTTGACCTTCAAATAATTGGGTCATTGCAAAGCAAAACTTTTGCTCAGGGCCTGTAAAACAAAATAAATAATATATAGAAGCTAGGGAAATATAAAAATTTCATTATATGTGAAGCACAGTGAATAGTGTAAAAATGTGAGGCTAGCCACCATATGGAAAAGTAATACAAATACTGTACAATAGGACTAAACAAAAGAATTTTTAATGGCAAAAAATAATCTTCCAACTTCTCCCACAGTTGTGCTTCAATGAACGATTCAGACCAATAAAAAAATATGCAAAAAATCTCAAATAAATATTCCAAGTTCTTTCTTACCCATTAATTTTTCAATAACCGGATCTATGACATCTGTACAAAATAAAGTCTGCAATTCTGTTCGTAGATTTGATGATAATTTTGTCGATACATACACCTTATTCTGAAAAGTAAAACATGAAAACTTTTTTTCAGTAAAATTTTACCAACCAATTTTTAAAGCACAGTGAGTAATGACAAAAGTAATGAATATTGCATAATAACCCTCTATGTTAGTTCAGCCTTACAAATAAATAAAAATAAATGTGAAAGACAGTCTTATCTGATATTTATTCATTGCTAAACATGAATTATGAGCAGTGCTCTGTGTCTTACACATAGCTTTCCTAACACTGCTTTACTTACCTCACATAATGTACTTTGGCTAAATCTTGGAGACTTCATTCAAAATTCATTAAGAACTTGATGATTATATTGAACTTTCTATCCATATTAATTGTAAAACAACTGAAACCAAAGAAGAGTGGCCCAGGCAGAATCTTTCACATACACCACAACAGTAGCAAATTTCAACTTACTGTTTCATATACACACTGTACTGTATCATCATTTATTGTCCATTACACAATCATATTTCCTCTATTCATCTCTTTACGTCTCCTATTTACCGCATTCGATTTTCAGTCATTTTCTAATGAAGTCCCTGTGCTGTACAGTATATCACTTAAACACTTTATCTTTTAATTGAACAAGAACTCTGCACATTTCAACATTTCTAAGTAAACGTTCCTATTTTACTCACATTTTTTACAGCGTGCTGAACTGCATAATTTTTTTCCATTAATTCCTTTATCATACAAAATAGACAATACTGTACAGACATCCTACTGGTAATTAAACAACATCAGAATGGGAGTTATAAAAAGCAAAATTCTAATAACATGCCTTTTTCATGCTTCTGATCGTTCGGAGTCCGTGGCGATGCACTCTCACTGCTCGAGTCTTATTTGTCAAAGCAATATCAATGTGTGATGGTTGGTGGAACCATTTCATACCTGGTCGCTTTGCAGTTTGGAGTCCTACAGGCCACAGAGATCAGTTTTGTTTTGAGACCACTTCTGTTTACAGTCTATACCAGTAGTTTTGCATCACTGATGGATGTTCATGGTGTTGCCTACCATTTCTAGGCTAATAGTACACAGCTTTATGTACAAATGATAAATGCTGAGGATTTTGAGGAGATAATGAAATCCTTGATGTCTGATATTAAGATATGGAAGGCTAGAAGAAAACTTTAAGCTGGATGATTATTGTCATCTGAGGATATAGGAGGGGTGACAGCACAGATTATTTTGGCTCTTTAAACTTTTGTGAAGTACAACTCAGTCCTGTTGATTCTGTTCGTAATTTTCGTAATCTTGGATTGTACTTCAATTATACCTGAATTTTAAAGAGCATATAGATTCAGTGGTTAAGAGTTGCAACTTTCATATTCGAAATCTATACTGTATGTTGTGACAGTTTTTGGATAGACAGTGTCTTGTGACACTATTACATTCATATATTTTGACTTTGTAACTATTTATGAGTCTGCCTAACTAATTATCCACTGAAGAAAGCATAGACAGTGTTGAACAGGGTTACCAGGGGGCTTATTTTTGCTCTCCCACCAAACACTCCCACTACCCCATTCTTGATTGAATTGTACTGGCTTCCAATTAAAGCTAGATAGAGTTCAAACTCTGCCTAATGATCTATGACACTTATGTTTGATGACCCTAAGTACTTGTCAACCTATTAAATCCTCTGACCACACATTCCAAAATGATTTTGCATAGTAGAGATGATCCCTCACGCCTTGAGGAGCCTAGAGCAGTATGGGAATGTTCTTTTCCTGTACAGCACTCAGATTGTACATTCGGTTGCCTGCATCCATGAAGCAGTTGACTTTTGTGAAGGCCTTTAAGAAACAAAGACCTTTCTTTTTTTGAAAGCTTATGATCCTCAACAGGGTACAATGATGGAGAATTACAGGAAGTGTTACAAATTAAGGATATACGAACTGTCACTTTTGTAATCTTTTCATTTTAATATTTTTTTTTTATTCTCAGATCCTCCACTTTGTAGTATTTTGAGTGCAAGTGAATTCTTTAGAAGAACTGGAACTTTTGAGAAACAAAAGACCAGCTACTATTATTATTACATATCATTCAAATAGAGATTTTTATCATGGGTTCAAACCCCTACCAAGCCTAAGGTTTGTAAAGTACATAGAGGAACCTACAGTGCCATTTCTTTGTCATAAGGTCACTGTTCTCTGATGAAAGAGGTATTAGTGAAAAGCTATGCAACTTACCAGGCAAGTAATGGATTAGATAAGAAAATTTTTATGAAATAAATTTAAGAACTAAATGTAATTATCTTTTATGTGCCCAACAAGGGATAAGTCATGAATTTTTTTTTATGGCTGACACCCCTCATTTAACCAATCATGAGTTATAGCTATGAGCCCTGGGTTGTAATATAAAATTATTATACAGTAGTTTATATTCTGAAGACTTTAAAAAATAAATCAGAATTTTCCATGGAAAACTGTAGAAGCAAATTTCACAAAGTGAGCACCCTAATGTCAGATGGAACAGTTGGAAAAATAGATAAGAAAAACTTTATGCCCCAGCTTAAAGCAGAAGTACATTTATTTATGTATTTATTTTATTTATTTTTTATTTTTTGTAATTACTGTATTACGGCTTTATATCATATTGCACAAACCTTATATATGAGAGTTTCATAAAGTATTATTCCTGTCATACTGAATGTAATTTGACTATTTTTCAAAGCATTTAATACACACTTCTATACTTAGTGTGAAATCAATAACCTGTATCCTATTTTGCATTATTCCACATGATTTTGTATACTGTAAACAAAAGTAAAAATTAATTAAAAATATATCATTAACAACTCTGCTAACAAACTGGTTAGTCTCCATCATCCAAAGAAGCATTACTGTGGGAGAATTAGTGAGGTACGTTTTTCCCATTGGTGGTTCTTTTATTGGCTGAGAATATTTCAGTTATTACAAAAAAGAAAAAGAAAACTCTTTTAAAGAGGGTTGGACAGTAAATGTGTCCCAGCAACCTTATCAGTTTTAAAAATCACTGTAGTACAAGTTCCAGAACCTATGCAAATGACAGGTGATTACACTGTTGTTATCTTAATCCCCACATAGCACAGTGTATCACTGTCCACCACTAAAACTGACAATCAACACTGCTGGATTTCTGACCAGTGTTTTAACTGAGATGGATAGTGGCCTATTCATATAAATCAATTCTGCATGGGCCACACATTTTCTTGTGTTGTAATTAATTTAATGAACAATGAGGTATAAAACTACAAGTGAACCCTCAGTCATCTGGACTTCAGTTCATCCAAACTAGCCAGCTGAAATGGTGACCTCATATTGTTCTTCGGTTGGTGTTTATCTGTCAGGCAGTAAGCAGCTCTGAGTAAGCATTCAAAAACCTCTTTCTTTTTCTAACTATTTAACCCCAATAAAGTTTAAAATGGGTCCCAAATAAATAAATAGTGAAAGAAAAATAAAACTGTTGCAGGGAAGTTGAAATAAGAAAGAAGCTTCAAAGTGGCATTTCTGGAGCAAAGATCATGCAGGATTTTGGCACATTTAAGCAAATGGTGTTGGATATTAACCCTTAGGCCCTGGGTGACGTTCCAGAACGTCCGCCTATTCCCGCCACTTTTTTTTTTATTATTTGTTCTTGATTTATCATAGGGGGGTTACTGCCAACAGCACCCTAACTTGAGGCTTAAGGGTTAAGAAACGCAAAGACTAAATAATGCAGTGTGTTTTATAATTTTATACTAGTTCTGGTAATTGATAACAAATATGACTGGAAGAAGCTGTTAACTTTATTATTTTAGTTATTATTCTCTAGTGCAGTGGTTCCCAAACTGGGGGGCCATGGCCCCCCAGCAAAATTTAGGGGGCCATAAGCTGAGGCTATGTACACATAAAAATCCCAAGCCCCACCACACTAGAACAGCCAGTCAGCAGCTGAGCCAGCCAGAGATATGGATTGGGAGAGGGGGCCATGGATAAGGATCATATATGAAAAGTGGGTAATGATCAGAAAAAGTTTGGGAACCACTGCTCTAGTGTATCTAATACGTATTGGTCACTCACAGGAAAAATATTAAGTAAATTTTGGGTTAAATAAATATACAGTATTATGCTTCGTTTAAACGTGTGAAACATTATCTTCTATATTTTGGGGAGTCTGGACTTTAAGCAACTCTTGACACCCCTCCCCCCCTAATAGTCCAGACAATTGAGGGTTCACTAAAATTTAATGAGCAATATATATATATATATATATATATATATATATATATATATATATATATATATATATATATATATATATATATATATATATATATATATATATATATATATATATATATATATATATATATATATATATAGGGGGGTATATAAATTTCATTAACAATACTGTACTGTACACAAATTCATAAAATCTCCGAGAAATTTCAGATTTACCCGGTACTGTACACTTACCAGATATGTAAATATTGGAATGATGCCATCTAGACTATACATGACACGATGAATAACGCAGTAGTAGTTATCAATTAACTGAAACTCATCCAACTGCTGCAAGAAAACACCATTACAAACATATTAGTAATAAAACTTTCTAAAGATTACCTAGTGCTGTACATAATACAGCACAGGTGCTCATCTACTTACGAACAAGTTACGTTCCTGAGGATTGTTTGTAAGTCCAACTTTACTCTTGTAGATACCAAACATATTGTAAAAAATGAAAAGATTATGGATGTTTAAAACAGCTATACCCTTTAATACAGCCTGAAAACCTGGCTCACTCTTCTCCTCTTATGTAATGTTTGTTCTATCTGGAATTTTCTTCAAAATAATCCAGTCTCATCCACAGTAAACGCCTGTTCTGGTAGGTGACCCCCATCAGTGACGATGTTTGTATCTCGCAAAGTTTGTAAGTTGAACGTTCTTAAGTAGTGGAGCACCTGTACGTAGTAATTTATTAGAACATCCGTAATTATTATATAAACTGAAGTTACATCCTTTGAAGAAATACTGTACAGTTTACACAGGTTGAAATATTTTTAAAGCATTTCACATTCATTACTTTCTTTTTTAAGTATCTTTCAAGTACAGGGCTTGTTCGGTAGATTTCATATATATACATATATAAATATATATATATACAGTATATATATATATATATATATATATATATATATATATATATATATATATATATATATATATATATATATATATATATATATATATATATATATATATATATATATATATTTTGTGTGTGTGTGTGTCTGTGTTTAGGACAGTACTATATATAGTTTACCTGCATCTCCTCAGCAACCTTGACAAAATGCTTGTGTACATGGGACATTAGATCATTATAGAGAGCCTCGGAGTGCTGCTGGCACACACATTTGTATGCTGCAGAGTACATGGGTTCAAATTCAATGACAGGTCCTGTGTGGTGTGGAGGAGGAGGTCCCTGTAACAGTCGGTCAATGGCCGTTTGCAGCTGTGGCCAATAAGTGTTTCTGTAATCTTCATTCGTCATACTAGTCATTGCTGTGAGAATGAAATATCAACAAAAGTTTAGTATTTTAACAAAAGTTTAGTATTATAACAAGTAGACAGAGCCAAGGACAGCCTTAAGGGCCTACAACCCCTGCAATTGCAATGGGCCCAAGACATTGAGGCTCCAAACTATCAATAAATCAATATTTGCCTAAGTTACACTGAGAAAAGTCCAACTAAGCAACTAGTTACTATATACTGTAGCTCTGCATCTGGTTTTGCAGAGAATCAGATGGAGAGATGAAATCCATAAATTTGCTGGGTAGGATGGAACAGGCTAACAACCTATAGGTCAAAGTGAAAGAAGTTGGGAGAGGCTAACATAAGCTGATGGTGATGAAGATGATGATACTGTAACTAAGTCCAATTATTTATTATGTACTAAAGACTGTGAGACTCAAGATTATTAATTTGAAAAAGGAATTCTGTACTAATAATTCATGTACAGAAGTGTTGTACTGGGTAATTATTTTATAATGATTAAATTATCAATATGACAATTGTGATATTTGCATTGTATAAGTTAGGTTCAAATAACGAATTCGCTCACTTCGCGAAAAACTACCACAATGTGTTGTGGTCACAAGATAATCAAAACGCAAAACTTTGCATCGCGGGTTTTTCCCAACAACCTTAACGCTTTCTGGATGATCTCAAAATTCCCCTAACCTATACCAAAATTTTGTTCTCTGGTTAAATTTTTGCGTCCACAGCACACTCTACGCCCTAAACTCATGAGACATAAAGGCAAGCATGAACTTAGCATGCTTCCCTGTTGGGTGCTGTAAACGCTTCTGCGCTTCACCTAACACAAGGATGTAGGGGAGTGCAAAAAAAAAAAAAAATGTGTGTTCTTTTCACTAAGTGGGCGAGGTATTCATTCTTTGCGCCTAACAATACTACCAGGATGTGATACAGATTTTACAAAATATGAAGTGGAACTACCCAAGTGGTCATGAAGAGCAAAAAGCAGCACAAGAGAAAGTTAAAAGAATGGAGATATAGTACAAAGATACAGAAAATACTTGTTGTTTTTCTAGCTAACTACCTGTAGAGTCACAGTATAGAGGCCCCTCATGGCATTTTGCAGGCCCCCTCCAAATGACTAAACCCTTTATTTCTATTTATAATATTTTTTGGTCACTTTTACAACACTATATATTTTTTAAATATATTTTTCCTTTGTCTTGGTGGAACTGTGTAAATAGCCAATGGCTTATGTGAGTCCTATATTCAAGAAAGGCTTTCGTCACTCCACGAACAACTATAGACCGATGAGCCTGACCAGCATAGTATGTAAAGTACTGTACTTGAGAGCATTATCAGAGATGCCGCGAGGGAACATCTACTACGTAACAACCTTGTAGAGGATTGCCAACACGGTTTTATGCCGGGGCGCTCCTGCTTAACACAAATGCTCAAGGAATTGGATATTTGGACCCATATTCTGGAACGGGCTGGTAATATCGACAATATTTACCTAGATTTTTCCAAGGCTTTCGACAGTGTACCCCACGAAAGGCTGAAAATCAAACTGGAAGGGTACGGAATTCGGGGAAATGTCCTAGCGTGGATAGAAGACTTTCTACATAACCGCAAGCAGTGTGTGGTGATTAATGGCACAAAGTCGTCATCTGTACCTGTCACAAGTGGGGTACCACAGGGCAGTGTATTGGGCTCGTTGTTGTTTGTTTGTTTGTTTGTTAAATGACATGCCTGACGCTGTACACTCCTCCATACATATGTTTGCCGATGATGCCAAGTTATTTCGGGAAATCAAACACCAAGCAGACTGTGAAGAGCTGCAGAAGGATCTCTGAGAGCTCCAAGAATAGTCGAAGAAATGGCTGCTGATATTCAATGTTATGAAGTGTAAGAGGATGCACCTTACCAATGGTAAGGAGGCGTATCATATGTCCCAACGGGATGACGAAATTACACTATTTGAGACTGAATGTGAGAAGGACCTAGGTGTGTATGTTGACAATGAGCTGAAGTTCTCGGGCCATTGCGAGAAGAAAGTAAATCAGGCAAATAAATTATTAGGTCTTATAAAAAGGTTGTTCAGATATCTAGACGGTCCGTCCCTTGTATCGATCTTCAAGAGAGAAGTGCTTCCCCATCTGGAGTACAGCCACCCAGTCTGGTCACCAAGATATGCTAGGGACTGTCAGTTGATTGAAAATGTTCAAAGGAGGGCCACCAGACTGGTGCCTGCATTTTGGCACCTCAGCTACCCTGAGAGATTGGAGTTTCTGAACTTGCCTAGCTTATTCTACAGACGGGCAAGGGGGGACCTAATTGAGGTGTATAAGCATCTCAAGGGGCACTACTCAGTCGAGTGTCGTTACCTGGAGCTGGCGGATGCTCGCCCCACAAGGGGTCACAGCTCAATGTTGAAGAAGCCGCAGGTCCAGAAAACTGTGAGGGCAAACTTTTTCAGAGTGAGAGTTGTAAACTCTTTGAACAATCTGCCAGAAAGTGTTGTGACAACACCGAGTGTGAGCTCTTTCAAGACCAGACTTGACCAACAATGTAGCAGGTTCAAGTACTTTCAGGAGTCGGTGAATGCCCAGTACTTGCCAACAGTGCGTAACAGAGACGTGACCAATCGCCAAAGCGGCTAACGAGCCGATCAGTGATGAAGAGGATAAAAGTAAAGCAAGAAAAAAAAAAAAAAACAGAAAACCTGTACCAAGTTGTTTGGCTGTCTACAGTATGTCATCATGAAACAGTTTACAAGCCAACTGTTTCTTTCAAGTCCAGCTTCCCAAGTGGCTAACAAGCTGATCAGTGGAGAAGAGAATAAACGTAACGGAAGACTCCAGCATTTTCTTGTATTTTCCAAGTGATTTATCCTATTTAGAGATATCAGGATAGCAACCAGCAAGTGAAATGAGCAGTAGCAAGGCAAAGATTCACTGGAAACGTAACAGAATATACTATTTTTATTTATTTTTTGCTCTTTCTCCCTATATGAACAGAAATATGAAATTCTATGTTTGACCTAAAACAAATCTTTATCATCCGCATAACTGCTAGTGGTAAGTGGCCACTATAAACCATCAACAATTTAAATGTCATGGAGCACTGGGGCTGGTGAAAGGACTACAGCTATATTCAAGTTGTATTGCAAAGTGTCATTTCATTAGGTGTTGGAGGAATTTGTTATTTTTGAGGAATGAATCTCCCAGTTTATAATGGTAATCAATAGATAAATATGAATCATTAACCATGGTATTCTGTATCTGCAAACATGTAAAAATTGTAATCTAAATATATTTTTGTATGTAATGAAATTCATGGTCACGTTAATCAAACAAATGTGTAGCTAAAACTGAATTTTACACTTGTTTCTTCTAATGGACAATATGTTGTGTATTATGGTAGTACACTCATGTATTGCCCTTGGCTCACATAAATTATGAAACAAGAATAAAACATTTGAACTCTAAAATAGTTGTGGCTAGCTTTTATGATCAAATTAAACATAATTTGTTCATATAGCAGATGGGCCACTCTATCACATATGTGATAGTCCTTCAACTGCACAGCCTATAACGCGGTCAAGGTGACGAACTTCTCATTTTACTTCATCAGACTTTATTCTGATAAACTCGATTGAAATAATACAAAGTATTATTGACTATAATGGGATGGGGGAGTCAATGGTTGGCACACATCAAATAATGACACACCTAATGCTCTTTTGGGTACGTCTGCTATATGTTGGTGGTGGTCTGGGGAGGTGGACGTCATCGTCTCCTCCATTTTAATGTGCTATATGATCTCTCTGGTTCCTCTTGGCCTTTCATGCAGTGCACAAGTTGCTCAACCACTAAAAATAATTTTTCATGATAGAGTAATGTTGGTTAGGCCGTTTTACCACTGCTGAAGCAAGGACAATATACAGTATAGGAGGAAGTATGTCTTAAAGCTACTCTGTGTAGGTCCCGTCGTGCGCCGCCTGGTCACTAGGTGGCACTGATCAAGAGCTGCGTCGGCTATTTATTTGAAACTTGGGCGAGAAGGAGAGGGAGGGTACACCGGTGTGTTGTGTGCGAGAAGAATAAAGGCAACAATAGAGATCTGAGTTTCATTACATCCCAAAGATCAAGAAAACGTAAGTAGATATATTTAATAAACATGACAAAAGTTTGAAGTTCACCGCCATAACATACTGTACATGTACGTACTACGTACAGTAACTAAAACAACTATCTGTGCAGGTGGGGGTCGATATGCAACGAAATTTTACGTGTGACTAGTGACAGCCCTCATATTCCAAAACATTTCGTCCATGGTCTCATATTGTTTCCCACAAAGTATGCACAGATAGTTGTTTTAGGTACTGTACTGTACGTACTGTATTACGTGTACGCAAAAAGGTAAACAAACCCAGTTCTTACTTCAAACACAGTTAAACTCACTAACTTTTTTTTCTATTTGATTCCTATAAAATTTATTTGCATATTTGGCAAGGGAAAAGAAAACGAAATTAGGTTAGGCTGGTTTAATAAAGCTAGGTTAAGTCTAGTCAAGTTAGGTTAACAGCATATATCAACCTGTGTGCAATCACTGCTCAGGTTATTAGGTTATTATTTTTTTTACGGGGATTAGCCTACCCGGGTACAGGTCACTGACCCACACCGGGCCCTGGGGGCAAAAATTTTCGTGATGCCATATGGCAGCAGGGTCTACCATAGACTTTGTATTTACTTTTATCCTCATCACCACTGATAGGCTCGTTAGCCGCTTGGGCGATCGGTCACGTTTCTGTTACTTTTCCTTTCTTTTATCCTCTTCACCAAATGATCGACTTGTTAGCCGCTTGGCGATCGGTCACGTCTCTGTTACGCACTGTTGGCAAGTACTGGGCATGCACCGGCTCCTGAATGTACCTGAACCTGCCCCAGTGTTGGTTAAGTCTTGTCTTGAAAGAGCTCACACTCGGTGCCGTCACAATACTTTCTGGTAGATTGTTCCAAGAGTTCACATCTCTCACTCCGAAAAAGTTTGCCCTCACAGTTTTCTGAACTTGCGGCTTCTTCAATATTGAGCTGTGACCCCTTGTGGGGCGAGCGTCCGCCAGCTCCAAGTAAGGACACTCGACTGAGTGCGCCTTGAGATGCTTATACACCTCAATTAGGTCACCCCTTGCCCGTCTGTAGTATAAGCAAGACAAGTTCAGGCGCTCCAATCTCTCAGGGTAGCTGAGATGCCGAAGTGCAGGCACCAGTCTGGTGGCCCTCCTTTGAACATTTTCAACTAACTGACAGTCCCTAGCATATCTCGGGGGCCAGACGGGGTGACAGTACTCCAGATGGGAAGCACTTCACTCTTGAAGATCGTTACGATGGACGGACCATCTAGATATCTGAACGACCTTCTTATAAGATCAAATAATTTATTTGCCTGATTTACCTTCTTCTCGCAGTGGCCCGAGAACTTCAGCTCATTGTCAACATACACACCTAGGTCCTTCTCACATTGTCTCAAGTAATGTAGTTTCTTCATCCCGTTGGGACATATGATACGCCTCCTTACCGCTGGTATGCCCCAGGTGCATCCTCTTACACTTCGTGACATTGAATCTCAGCAGCCATTTCTTTTACCATTCTTGGAGCCCACAAGGTCCTTCTGCAGCTCTTCACAGTCCACTTGGTTCTTGATTTCCCGAAATAACTTGGCCTCATCGGCAAATATTTGTATGGAGGAGTGCACAACGTAAGGCATGTCATTTATGAAACAAACAAACAACAGCGGACCGAATACACTGCCCTGTGGTACCCCACTTGTGACAGGTACGGATGATGATTCCGTGCCATTAATCACCACACACTGCTTGCGGTTATGTAGAAAGTCTTCTATCCACGCTAGGACATTTCCCCGAATTCCGTACCCTTCTAGTTTGATTTTCAGCCTTTCGTGGGGTACACTGTCAAAAGCCTTGGCAAAATCTAGGTAAATATATTTCGATATTACCACCCTGTTCCAGAATATGGGTCCAAATATCCAATACCTTGAGCAATTGTGTTAAGCAGCAGCGCCCCAGCATAAAACCGTGTTGACAATCCTTCACAAGGTTGTTACGTAGAAGATGTTCCCTCGCGGCATCTCTGATAATGCTCTCAAGTACTTTACATATTATGCTGGTCAGGCTCACCGGTCTATAGTTGTTCGTGGAGAGACGATCACCCTTCTTGATGATAGGATTCACATAAGCCACTTTCCATTCAATGTGGACCTTTTGTTCATCCAGATATTTACAAAATAGGATCTTCAGGGGCTCTGCAAGCTCGTTGCACAACTCTCTTAGCACTCTGGGATGCACCATGTCAGGGCCGGGACTCTTATGAACCTTTAGCTTTGACAGTTTATTTCTAATTCCCTCTTCTGTGAACACAATGTGGGTCAGTGCTGTGTCGAACCGTCTGTCCTCAAACGCAGGAAGGTTAATCGCATCCTCTCTTGTGAACACCGAGGAAAAGAAGCTGTTCAATGCCTCAGCTTTATCCTGGTCAGAATCTGCGTAACTACCATCTTCAAGCCTCAGGTCTGATACTTCTACTCGTGTTTTTAATTTCGACTTTGCATAGCGGTAAAACGCCTTTGGGTTTGACTTGACCTCGCTTGCAACCAGCCTCTGGAACTCCTTTTCAGCCCTCCTACATTCTATCTTTGCTTAGTTTCTGGCTCTTGCATACATCCTCCTGTCCTGCTCATCATTTGACTCAACCCCCGTCTTGAATTTATGGGTTTTCTTCTTAACTTTGTCGACCGCCGCATGGTTCATGTTTAGGGATCCCCTCGTATTCCTAGAGGCATTGGGTTTGGTCTTGGGTGTATATTTATCGAGCAAATGGGTCACTTTACTAGTTATGATATTCAGCGTAGTGTCTGTGTTCTTGTGCCTCAATGAGTCAGGGCAGTGGATACCCCTCATCCCGTTGTAAATTCCCTTGTTATATTTGCACCTTGGCTTGGCCGTAGCTACTTCACTCTTGAGTAGTTGCTTCAAGTATATAAGGGTTTCATTCGTCCTAACTTGGAGTATTGCTCTCATATCTGGGGTGGCTCTTCTTCTGTCCAACTGTTAGATAGGGTGGAATCAAAGGCGTTTCATCTTATTAATTCTTCTCCTTTCGTGACAATCTTTCTTCCCTTTCTCTTCGCCGTAATGTTGCTTCACTCTCCCCCTTTTACAGGTACTTTAACGGGCAATGTTTGGTGGATTTGGCATCCTGTGTACCGCCGGCAAGGCCGTGGGCTCGTAACACACGTCGTGCCCGCGATGCTCACTGTTTCTCTGTGGATGTCGGTCACACTAGAATAACCCGTTATAATGCATCCTTCTTTCCTCACATAGCCAAACTGTGGAATGCTCTGCCTTCTTCTGTGTTTCCATCCTCATACAATCTGTCTCACTTTAAAAAGCTAGTTTTCCGGCATCTTCGTGGTGTAGTTTAATACAGTATAACCTTTTTCTTTCCTATTTTTAATTTCTTTTTTTTTCTTATTTTTTCGGCCCCTAGGCCCTGTTGTGGGTCGTTCGACCTGTGCCCGGGTGGGCTAATTCCCGTAAAAAAAAATACGTGTTTATTCACAGGATGCGCCAAATCATAGCTATCCTGTAAAAGGGAAAGAATCGTTTTCTATGTTTGGAAAGATTGGCCACCAGATGGCAAGCCATACTAAGGTTTCAAAGCAAAGGGAGACACTTTTCTTCCTATATACTTTCATTGGCTTGGCGTTTAAATAAAGTATCATGCATATTAATTCATAAATTGATGTACAGTTAACAAGAGTTGTCTAAGCGGTTGGTAAATGTATTGTCGAGGTGTTTTGCGGTATTTTGTCTTGAAATTAACAAAAATATTTTTGTGTAATAATTATATGAAAATAATTGCATTTATCTGATAAATTTTTTAGTTTTTTATACCATAAATTTACTCGGAAAGGTATGCTTCTGAAGCTTCTGGTAATATAATCTATCTCTATATTTCTATAATATGTTTTCTGCTAATTAAGCTGAGTGGAGATCCACTGTATGTCTGTCTTAGAGCTATTACTTTTACATTTAACTTTTATCCTCTTCACCACTGACCGGTTCCCTATATGCTTGGGCGGTCGGTCTTGGCTGTTACTAACTGCTGCCAAGTATTAGGCATGTCGTGGATTTTTCCCCTACAAACGCTGTTTGTCGCTGAGTAGCCGACCCCACGAATTCCCCAGTGTATGCCTCGTGGTCTAGGTCAACCAGCGCCGCCTTACATGACGGAGGTCAACTACTAAGCCACGCCTACCTCCGCTATTTAGGACCTGACCTCGTGGTGACCTCTCTCTTTCTACCTACACCAACCAGCCAGCAACACCTCCTCCTCCGCCGCTGCCTGGCGGCCCTCGCTCCCGCCGGCGAGCATGGCGACCCACAAGCTGTCCTCCTCTGAGCATCCTCACCAACCAACTCTCTTCTGGCTACAGCCGCAGCAAGCTACACCAACCAGCCAGCAACACCTCCACCTCCTTCGCCTGCCTGGCGGCCCTCGCTCCCGCCGGAGAGCATGGCGACCCACAAGCTTGTCCTCCTCTGAGCATCCTCACCAACCAACTCTCTCTACATCACGCTTGTAACCATGCTGCCTTCCCAGCATCAAGCTGCATTGTACATCCAATACAACATGTATACAGAGAGCACACCGTGAGTTTCCTTTCTCCATCCCATCCTGAGTGCGAACCAAACATCATATACCCCACAGGCATGTACTGGCTCCAGAATGTATATTGTATGTACCTGCGCTTGTGTTGGTCAAGTCTGGTCTAACTAACCTTCCTGCGTTTGAGGACAGACGGTTCGACACAGCACTGACCCACATTGTGTTCACAGAAGAGGGTATTAGAAATAAACTGTCCAGGCTAAAGGTTT